TGTATGCATGTATGCACACTGAGTTTGCAAAGGCAGATTTCAGCAACAACTAAATGCAATTGTACACCTCAATAAAGCCAGCTGTCTTTTATCCATTTTGGAATATTTGTGTGTGTGTGTGTGTGTGTGTGTGTGTGTGTGTTTGTATGTATCAATATATTCAATTTAGAAAATGTATGATTGTGTATGCATACATATTTGTATCCCATATCACAAATTCTTCTTGAAAGTGTATTAAGAATTGTTAATTTTCTTATGATGAGCTTTTCTATTATCAGAAAGCCTATTTTCAAATATACAATCATCTCCAGTTAGATCAACATTCAAAAATATGCTACTCTCTTTAACACTATCATATTATCCTTTATAATAAAAAACATTATATATTCATAATTTTAACTATGTAGGAAAATAAGATTGCAATCTGCATGATATATCATGCTCAAAATATAAAACCCAGGACAACCCCAGAACACAAAATAAAACATTCTGCAATTCATATAATATTTACAGTAATGGCTCCAGAACCAAGACTTAGACAATAATTCTAGTTAAGATTGAAAACCTTCACAGAAGCCACATCAAATAATTACATTTCTTAGAAAATATGCCTCTTATTTTTAAAGATATTTAAAAAGCACATTTTTCCAAAATATCTAAGTTCAATATGGCTAGTCAGGACTAATTACATAAAATAAGAAATATTTTACCTATCCAACTACCACTCGAATCAAAAAACCAACTTTCAATTTGCTACTAGAATAAGCACTGTTTTTTTTTAAAAAACAACAACAACATATATCTGCTACTAGTAGGCTTTTTACAACTATATCAGTATTTTTTATATTGGGACAGGACAGACTAGAAAATCTACAACCAGAAAGCCTACATTTTGACATAAAAACATTCTCCTCTTATTCAATTTTGAATTAATTCACTGTGACTTGCATTTCATGCTATTATATAATTTATAATCAATTTCAAAATTTAGCAACAGTTCACAAAAAAGAAACTGGACAAGATTGTAATAATTAAAATTAAATGTTAATTTTCACTTTAATTCTAAATAAAAGCAACTTTCTGCATACCATTTCATCTGCTAAAATACCATTGATACCATTTTCATACAAAGAAATGAGCCAGTTCAATCCTCTGACTTGATAATCACGCAATTTTCCCCATTTCACATCTGCAATAAGAGACAGAAGCAAGTAATAATAAATTTAAAGTCACCTCTTATTTTCTTCATAGTAAGTATTCCCAATACCACAGGAGAAAGGACTAATCTTCAGTCCATATTCTTAACAGAATAAAATGCAAAATGTTATGATATCATGACTAAATTAAATGTATACAAAGCAAATTCTTTGTTAACTCAGGATTTTTCTCATGTCTACCAACTAGTTGCAAAATGTTAACTAACATCAGAAACGGGAATAGAGTACAAATTAATAAAAATATTGACTGTTCAATTAATGAATAAAAATACTAACAGTTCCAGAAAGATTAATCAATAGAAAACTAGACAATTTTGTTTATTTTTTATTTGAAAAGAAATGCTATATCCCTATGAAAACAAATTATGGCATTCTAATATACCTTGACAAGAGGATAAACAAACCCTCTCAAATCATAATAAATTATTACATACAAATGCATGAATATACTTATTGGCAATCTTTTTTGAAAGGTGTATATCTTCGCTTCCACTTGCCACTAACCAAACAAATTAACTGTCTGTTCTCAAACACTAGAAATGATACTCCATGAAAGAGTTCATTATGAAGCAGCAAACAACAAATCCCTAAATTTCTGTTATACATGGTAACACATTCAAAATCAAGGAGGAAAAACAGTTTTGATCACACATGGGAACATATATTTTAAAATTGTGTAATTTTTAAAACCTGAAATCTCTATTACACACATATTTAATTGGGGGTGGATTTTGCATATAACTTTTCTGTAGTAGTTCTAGAAGAGATAAATTTGATGCTCAACTTAGAATCCAGTTTGGAAATATATCGTATTTTTCAGATATAAGATGCTCCAAAGTATAAGACACAGCTAGCTTTTGGGAAGGAAAACATGGGGGGAAAAATCTGCCTCTGCCTCCCAGCAATTTGCTTCCTTGCAGCAAACAGCCTAGTCAGCTTCAGCACAGCCTGATTAGCACAAGCAGCTGATTGTCGGTTGGATCGGCCTCCCGATGATTAGCTCTTTCAGGCTACAAGAATCGCCATTGCCTATTGCACCTCTCTCGTTTTCAGCCTCCGCATGCCCCATTTTTGGCCCGTTCTGATCCCCGCCAGAACAGGCCGAAAATAGGGCACGTGGAGGCGGCAATAGGCAATGGCGATCCCTGCAGCCTGAAACAGCTGATCACTGGGATGCAGATCCAACCAACAATCAGCTGCTTGTGCTAATCAGGCTGTGCTGAAGCTGACCAGGCTGTTTGCTGCAAGAAAGCAAATGGCTGGGAGGCAGAGCCGAAGGGTGGGGGGGGTGGCATGTGGGCGGGGCTTCGGCAACATTCATTGTATAAGATGCACAGACATTTTCATCCACTTTTGGGAGGAGAAAGTGTGTCTTATACTGAAAAATACAGTAATTTCTTGTAGACAATTTAAAACATATTCCCATTTTTCACCAGAAAAATCATATTGCTTAAAAAAAAGGTTTTGTTCTATTAGAAGGTGGATATAATGAATAAAAAAAGTAGAACATAATAGCAGAATAAGTATATTTAAATGTTTGCATGAAAAATTTATTCAAAATGCCAATATGAATATATTAATCTGTTCTAGGAAGAGCTCTGTTTTGAAAAGGGAGCATATAACATTAAAAGATATTAATTTAAGTTGGATAATATTGGCAAATGTGTGAATACTATGATTCTAAATGAGTAAAGTAAGTATCAAAATCTTTTAATTTTGGATAGTTCCCAATGGCCACATATAAACAACAAAAAGTATTACATACAGGATGGAGATTCTTCAAATCGAGTGCATACATTAGTAGTCTTGGAATTTTCTGTTAAAAGCTCCTCATCCTCTTCCTGTTCAGTTCTACGATGGCGATAGCTAGAAATAATGGAAATGTTAAGAAAATAAACAGTTAACTATTGTAGATTCCAAAACAAGCCAAATTTTTATATAGTACTATTACAAATTAATCTGAGGAAAAAATATATTCATCACAACTTTTTATGCTTTCCAATCCAATACATGTTGAAGAGAGCTTATGTAATAGGATTTATGACTTTATCCGAGTTATTACTCTCTAAAAACTCAAGTAAGTTATTGGAAAACATTTGGTTGGGGGAAGAAATAAAAGAAATAAAAACAAAAATTCGGTGATCTGAGGTCTGAAGAGAAAAATAACCCATTAAAAAAATTCACAATGCTTCCAATGTGAGAGGCAAGTTATTCACAGCTCAAGATGCTATTGGCTCATTCTCCATTCTTAAGCTTTTTCCTGTTTTCCAAACAACTATTATTAATTACAACCATACAATAGCCTGTATGGTTCTTCTATTCTATAATATGCAAATACTTCATAGTAGTTTTCAGGAAGTATTGGCTGTTTTTCTATTTCTAAATATCAAATCTCATCACAGCACATAGCCATGTCAGTTTTCCTTCTTTCAATCATGTAACCCAGGAACTGAACTAAAACCATGTCTGCAATTTCACTCAATTCTGAAAATATTCGAAGCATGCATATATGAAACTCTTATTAGGAAATATTTGCTACCCGTTCGAATGGGTATTTTTATTTCTCTCCAACTCAAAACTAGAAAATGTAGAGAGAGATAGTCCTGTATCACATGCTGAAAAAAGGACATTCAAAGACAGTGTCCTGGCAACTCTTTTTAAAGCTTACTTAAACATCATTATAGAAGATATTCCTTATAGAAGGTATTTCTTATATCTCAGACTTTAGAGCAGGGGTGTCCAACCTTGGCAACTTTAAGACTTGTGGACTTCAACTCCCAGAATTCCTCAGCCAGCAAAGCTGGCTGAGGAATTCTGGGAGTTGAAGTCCACAAGTCTTAAAGTTGCCAAGGTTGGACACCCCTGCTTTAGAGTTTCACAGTGAAGAGTCGTAATGGTGCAGTGGTTAGAATTCAGTATTGCAGCTAATTTTGCTGACTGCCAGGAGTTCAATCCTGACCGACTCAAGGTTGACTCAGCCTTCCATCCTTCCGAGGTTGTTAAAACGAGGACCCGGCTTGTTGGTGGCCAAACACCCAGAGAGTGCTCCAATGCACTATAAGCTATATGCTATTCACATATATGGCCCTATCAATTCTCATCAGAGGTAGACTTTCCCAGACAATTTAAGAACAATCTACCATAGTGTCTACATATTTGTATTCAATCATGATCTATCTTTGTGTTTCACATTTATTTAGTTGCATGACGTCCTTTGCACATTACAACTCAAAGGTGCTAAAAATATTACAATGACACATTTTCAAAATAAATATAACTCTGTTGGTACTCACTCTCCAACAGATAACAGATTTTGTTTTTCATCTTTTTTTATTCTTGGTCTTCCTGGTTTCATTTTTAAGGGTGAGGTTGGAGTCTTCTGAGCAGCAGGCTGAATGAAATGTGCAAACAACTCTGTCTGTTTCAACAGATAGTCAAATCTGTTTGCTCGATCGGTTTGCTGCAATAAAGTTATAAAGATTAGCAAGAAAACAAGAAAATGTATATGAAAAAAGAATCAAATTCTAGAATTAATTTTTAACATTTGAAATTATAAAGTGGCGCAAAAGCAGAAAAAAACATAATTTAACATGCAATCTCTGGGGTGGTCAAGGAAGCTTTCTGATTACCATGAATGACACTGCTAGAAATAAATAGCTGAAGACTGGGTGGGGAATGTCAACAGAGTTTGAAGGAAACTTAAGAGTATGAATAGAAAGTGGCTTCTAGGAAAGAAACTCTTCTATGCCCATTCTTTAAAAAAGCCTTCCAAAATAAACCAAAATTGCTTTGATAAAGTATCAAGATTATTTGATAGCTCAGTCCAAGTTTGAGATGCTTGGCTCCCCAGTGCATGAACCAAACTGTCAATTCCTGAAATAATCACATACATTACAATACAAAATACCTACCATTTTTTCTTCATATGTAGGATCTGGTTCTTGATTTTCTTTTTGTTTTCCTGGAGATTCATCACCAAGTTCCTAAGGAACAAATGGCATCCCTTTACTACTCTTTCACATTTTATACTTTACAAACATCAACATTTGTTTTGGAAATCCAAACTATATACAGAAAAAGTATATACCCTGTTTTCCTCAAAATAAGACCCGGTCTTATTTTCTTCTGGGCCCCGAAAAAAGCACTCGGGCTTATTTTTGGGGAGGTCTTATTTTATTGATGTGCAAGATGCAGCGAGCTCAGGGGCCAATGGGAATGGGAGCACTGCTACCACCAGCCCCATCTACTCTTGACATGACCCAACCTCTGCCCTGCCTGCCTGCTGGCCCTGCTGCTGCTGGGACACTGGAGCTCGGGTCTTGTTGCGCCGATGGAGCCATTCTCAGAAGGACAACAAGAGGCTTCAGCGTGCTGGTAGAGCCGCTTTCAGAAGGATGTTGCGTGGTGTGTTGTGCCATTGATTTTTACATCTGTGCCTCACCCCACCTTGTACAACCAGACTGTGACAGGGCTTAACATCGGGGTAGGGCTTATTTTCAGAGTAGGTCATATTTTTGGGAAAACATGGTATTTATGAGTTTATAAACCACATCAGTAAAACATATTCTACGTGGCAATAAAGGAATGGTGGAAGACACTGCAGTAATAATATAAAACATAATAAATATAAAATTACACTAAAGTTATATATTATCTTGTCTGTGTTGCATTGTGCTGTGTTGCATTACATTAATACTCTTGCCACTAGGAGTTCTACAGCATCAAGTTCCAAAGACCATCCAGAACAGCCATGTTTTTACAATATTTCAGAAGACCAGAAGAATGATAATTATCCTTGCCTCACAACTAGAGTGAGTCTGTCAGAGAAGGAAGCCTCCCACAAAATGACCATTTTTGAGATGTTACCTAGCTTGGATAATGAAACATCTTCAAGAAAATAACCAAGCTCAGAGAGTATTAAGGACTTCATTTCAACCCTGAGCTACAAATATTCTCCTTTATTAATGCCCACTTTTGGGAAATCTCCTTTTGTGCCTCACAATAACTAAAAAATATCAACATCTTCAAACTGGGCGGGCAAAATTTATGTGTGAGGTCTTGAAAATAGCCAGGCCCTTGAAGTATGTAAGATTTTATTGGTGGCAACCAGCATCCTGGATTGTACTTAGAAATACAGATCATAGTCATGCAAGTACACACATTCAAAGGGAAAAGACAATCAGAAACATTTTGGTAGATAAAGCTATGTGAACATTTTGAAAAGGGTAGTTGCTCTACACAATATACTTCACACATTTCCAAGGCCTCTACTGGCAGAAATCAATTTGTTAGGTGATTCCAATGATATATATATTTAAGTAAGGAATATATTTCCAATATTTCTGAGCTGCCACAATTATTTATTTTTAGGGGGCTCACAAAATAAATCATGAAATAAAAAAGACAATTTTTGTAACAATCTTACAAAACTTCATAGAATTTATATAACCAAGTTCTATTGAACAAGAAGTATATATATTAGTGTCAATGTTCAATCTAATTACAATTAGCAATGCTTGCTGAATATTTTTCAAGGAATTAGGATAAAGAGATGTGTGCCAACACAAAAATTATGTAATACAAAATATGCATTGTTTGTATGATTATGTCATGATGCATATAACACTACAACTTTAGTCAAACCCTTATACAGGTAGGACTTGACTTACAACAATTAATTTAGTGACCAACTTACAACTGCACTGAAAAAAAGTGATTTATAACCTTTTTGCACATTTTGCACCATCCCCATGGTCATATGATCAAAATTTGGACACTTGGCAACTAGTTCAAATTTATGATGGTTGCAGATTCACTTAACTATGTTAATGACTTAACAACTGCAGTGATTCACTTAATAACTTGGGCAAGAAAGATAGTTTAAATGGGGAAAAATTCACTTAACAAATGTCTCACTTAGCAACATCAATTTTGGACTCAATTGTAGTCGTAGATTGAGGACTACCTGTACTCTAAGATGTCCCATATAGACAAAAGATCGTATTAATTAGGTTCTTCACCCCTGCAGGGTCAAAATACTAGTAAGTATAATACCGCTTCTGATTGTGTTTTAAATTTGTAATATGAATTGGCTGTTGTTAAGGATGGCGAGGCTCTTTTATGGATACAGATATCCTAGAGTATGCAGATGGGGTAACACATAAAGGTAAGGATTAAATAAATAAAACATATAAGTTAAAATGTACAAGCACAAAAAAAAAACCTTAATGTAAATGTGTAATTGTTTTCAGTGAATTAACATAGGATTTTTTTCCTTTTATTTTTTACTAAAATATATTATTTGAAATTGCATAAAATCAGTAACGATTACATAAAATGCATTATAAAAATAACATTCTAACATTTGAAGGAACCAAAGTGAAAAACTGGACTAAGTCATGACTTTATCCAGTATTTAAGTAGATTTTACAACCATGAGACTTTATTGCCTTGATCAAAATATTTTTTAAAAATAGCTAGAAATTCTTGATTAACAAGTCTTATTTAATTTGTAGAACTCGATATAAATAATTCCTCTATCCTAACAAGATTATGGATCAATTCATTGTCTTCCAAATATATGAATTAATGTGATTTATGATATTTATACATTCTTGAATTTTGCTACCAATGACGTATTTGGAGTTTCACATCCTTACCTAATTACATTACTAAAAATGAAATAAAAAAACCACATATGATTCAAACAAGTGTATTAACGTGCTCAGTCTAGTTGCAAAGATATAAGGAAGCAAGTAACACACTGCTTAACATCGATGTATCTTATTATGCAATTATAAAAAGACATTTATTCAAAACTATTCAATGTTCAGGTGACACTGTACCAGTTTGGGAAGTGGGAATTTATGACAGAATCTAGACACAAAATACACAGTTGCAGCTGCACTTCTGAATACATTTTATAGCATACATACTTTAGCAGCACCTAGAAGTAAAATAGCCTGGAATCCACCTACAAATAGGTTGCATTTCCTGGTTTATTTCAGATTAATAGCCTAATAAATACAACCTTTAACCTTTCCAACAGTATATGTCACCTGTTTTATTTTTAAATCAAATAATATAACATACTGTAGCAAAAAAAATAAAAAGGAAAAAGATCCTATGTTATTTTCAAAGAACGATTCCTTAAAATTTACCTTGAGGGTTTGTGTGTTTTTGTACATTTTTAACTTTACCTTTAGCCTTTTCAACAGTTTGAGCAGAAACCTCAGAATACAATATAAAGCAGGTGAAGAAGCCCCTGGACAAGTGGAGAAGGGTCGTTTCTCCAGAAATGCAGATCCACCAGGAGGAACTGAGTCCAAATGACTTTCCACCATCAACAGCAGTGGTCCCTGGGCCTGGCTACAGCATTTTTTTTGACAAAGTCTGCACATCCTAATCGTGAAACCAATCCACCTACCGAAAGCGAAGGCCTCTTCTGAAGCACCAACCACGCCGCTTTGCCCAGGGAGCCCCTCCAAACTCTGAGCTGAGGCGACCGGAGGCTTCCAAGGCTACAACCGGCCACACACGGAAGGTAACCATCTCGACGCCGCCGAGGGCGCAACATTGGATGTTCAAACCGGGGGTTTTCAAACTTGACAGCGACTTGTGGACTTCAACTCCCAAAATTCCTCCTCCAAGTCATGTTAGCTCAGGAATTCTGGGAGTTGAAGTCCACAAGTCTTAAAGTTGCCAAGGTTTGGAGACCCCTGGTTTTAAACCGACCGCGAGCGTCGGAAGGACCGCTTCGCTACGAACACGATGCGCGGCCAATGCCCTTTCTTTTGGAAAGCATCCCCGCCCCCTCCCACCTGCAGCCCAGCCAGGACCGCGCCGACGGAGCTTTTGCGATAGAAGGAGGAGGAGGGCAGGGCAAGGAGGCGACCGGATAGAGAGCAAGCGAAGCTTCGCCGATGAGGAGCCAGATTAAGGTTGAGGGCGATACGTCAACCGCTCAGAGAGGGCTATAAAGCACCGTGAAGCGGTAGATAAGTCGAAGGGCTACGGCTGTTGTTACTAAGGGCTCAGCTGCCGGCGGAGACAAAACAAAATAAAGAGGGGGACGGAGGGGGGAGGGCAGGAGAGGCAACGCGATTAAACCGGAGAAAGGAGCGGCGTCGCCCACGGGAAAATCGCTCGCCTCCATCGGGATACCCGCGCCCATCACTCTTCGCTCGGCTGGGCTTAGAGGAGCTTCAACAGCCGCCCGCTCGGCTCTTCTTCCCTATTGTCTCCGGTGCCAACGGCTCGGTCCCCGCCCGAGAAACTCGGCGGTTCCGAGCGCTTCCCAGATTCGGTCCGAAGAAACGGCCGAGGTCCTTTGCTCCACGATGCCTGTCGCCCTTCCCCGCCCGCCCGCCCGCTTCAGCCGGCGAGAGGAACCTGCGGCGGGTCGCCCCCACGCAGCGCCGGTTTTTCTAGCGGCCGGACTCCTCTTACCGTTCCTTCGTCGTTTATCCCGGGAGTCCCTTCGGCGGAAGCCGGCCCCCCTCCTGGGTTCTCCATGCCGCCGCTGGGAACTGAAGCGGTGCCCGAAAGGGAGCTCACGTTCTCGTTCTCCGGTCCCAGCGCAGACATAATGAACACCGTCCGGGGGGGGGAGATGAAAACGGCCAAGGGGCGCCGAGCTCCCGACTCCTGCTTCTTCGAAAGACAAAAGTGACAAATGAGCGGAGTTCTCCCCGATTCCCTCCGCGCGCGACTCTTTTCTTTCTCTTCTTCTTCTTCTTCTTCTTCTTTTTCTTTCAGGCCCCGCTCTCCTCTGCCCGCCCCGGCTTTCTCAACGCGGTCCCACCAACCAGGAACCGAGCCGGCTCTCGAGTATCGCGAGACTCAGCCTCGCGGGCTGGGTGTGGAAGAAAACACGGAGAGGGGAAAAGAAAAAGAAAAGAGAGAGAGAGAGAGAAAAAAAGCCCGTTCTGATTCTTACATTGGCTGATTGGTCACTTAAAGCAAGAAGGCGGGGTTCCTTTGGGCCCCGGTGCTCGGGATTTAGGGTAGGAAAGGGTGAAGTTTGGCCAAGCGACCACAACTGGGAGCGGGAATCTCCTCGCGTCATCAAATCCGGGCGGGGCTTACAGTTCCGTTGCAGATGAGAGGCAACGAAAAAGAGAAGTCGAGGTGCCGGAAGATTAGCTCAGAGTTTCTCAGCCCTCAGCAACTTTAAGATGTGTGGACTTCAACTCCCAGAGTTCCCCAGCCAGCCCTGCATTGATGATATCCATACATCTTAAAAAGTTGTCGAGTTTGAGAAATATTGGTAGCCTTTCCAGGTCTTCCAGAGCTTTTAGTCAGAATAGAAATGGGAGATTTGTGCAGCCTTCCACTCTTTCGGAACCACGACTCCTGGCATTTTTTACCTCTTGTCAGAATCTCCTGCAGAATCTCCTCATTTCCCTTCTGCAAAATACTGGCACGTTTTCAACGAAGGCTTTAAAAATCAGGACGGTCGCTGGATTCTTATAGTTAACGACTTATAGCTGTTAGGATTTGTGTTAAACCTGATTTTCATAAATAATATCGAACCTTTAAGCTTTAAAGTTATAAAATTTCATTGTACACATGTTGTGCATTGACAATAAACGTTTCATTGATTGAAATACAACTGACACTGTTATATTGTTATATTAAGCATACCAGTGATTTGGTCAGAATTCATTTAAAATATTAAGGAGTCTATCCAATAGAGCTTGAAAAAGCAGAAGTCCATTAAATAGCAGAGTTCTCTAGTTGAAGAATTTTCTGCAGCCATTTGGTCCTATCAAGTGGTTGCAAGCAATTTTTTCAGAAAGTATACATGGTATGCCTATGTGAAAACAATGCCTTAAAATGCTATAAAGCTTTTCAAAGTAAAAACATATAATTTTGTATAGTAAAAACAAATATAACCAACAAAAGTATAGAATAACTATATCACTAGGGTTAGGTATATTAAAAACAATGAAGGTTTAATGAAAATCTTCCATCCAAATGGATTAATTTATAGTCTAGATAACAATGAATACAGAATATAGAAAAAAATGAATACAGGGATTAGGTTGATAATTTTCTAGGTTACAGGAGTTTCAGGAACATTAGCATCTCAGTAAAATTTACTGATCTTTGAACTAAGCAGTGATGATCCTCATTTTCTTAAGAAAAAACAAACCAGGGATTTAGAAACAAAACTGCCAGAAAAAGGTACTATCTAACTACTTTCATAACATTAGATGCAGTCACTCAACTTAAGTCTTTTTTATTATAAGCAAGTGAATTTGATGTGGGGAAAAAATCAACTGTCAATTGTTAAATGTCATTGAAATGCAAGAAAACTAGAAATGCAAGAAAACCAGACTCGAAATTCTAAAACTAGAAAACCTCGAATTACGCCGTCTTCGATCCGACTTAAGCATGGTATATAAAATCATACATTGCAATGTCCTACCTGTCAATGAATACTTCAGCTTTAACCATAACAACACAAGAGCACACAACAGATACAAACTCAAAGTAAACCGCACCAAACTTGATTGCAGGAAATACGACTTCAGCAATAGAGTGGTCAATGTCTGGAATACTCTACCCGACTCTGTAGTCTCTTCCCCAAACCCCAAAAACTTTAACCTGAGACTGTCTACTATTGACCTCACCCCTTTCCTAAGAGGTCTGTAGGGGGCGTGCATAAGCGCACCAACGTGCCTACCGTCCCTGTCCTATTGTTTCTCTTATTCTTTTATTTTTCTTATATGTACCTATTTCATATATTCACAACCATGTATACACTTGTACTTATTATCTTGTAAACAATTGACAAATCAAATAAATAAATAAATAAATAAAAATAAAAAATAAAAAAAAATAGTTCAGAGGAAGCTGAAACTGGTGATTAGAAAAGATTAAAAACTTTTGTAATACCCCATTACAAGCCATTAAGTATCAGCTGGTGATATATTCATTTGGTGGACCCTTAGCAGACACTCAATGACATTGGAAAAGAACTCAGCAACAAAACATCTAACTGAAATTAAGCATTAAGTGGATAGTTCTATGTTTGGTCCTTGAGTCAACATATTCATTAAATATTTTTGATGTTTGATAGAATGTAAGACACTGAATTTCCAGATGTGAGGTGCTTACTCCAGAGGAGTAAGAATCAGCTCATTCTAGATACATTGTATAAGACAAAGAAGGTGAAGACAGTCCTTCCCTAATACTTCTCCAAGTATATGATACATGCGAATACTTCATTTTCTGTCTGTAGATTGGAACAAGACATAAGCTTGGAAAAATCACGTCTTTCTTGGTTTGGGGGCAGGATAGGATAAGTAATCAGAGGGACTGATTCTTAAATTTGCAAATAAAAAGGCAAGTAACTAATCCTCTGTAAAATAGAAACAAAAATCAGAAGATATCTATACAGAAAGAAGGAAATAACAGAATGACAGTAGAAGCAAATACAAGCTTCACTCAGGAATTGGGCTCAAGTACATAGATTAAGCACAAGTAATTATATTAAAAGTATATTGAAATTAATTGATCAACTAAATCAACAGTATTAATGTATTGTTACATATCTGCTAAAAGACAAATATAAATTTAGCTGGTATAAAAAAATCAATTTTTGAAAATAATTGACTCTATTTAGTCTACGTTAAAATCCTACTTTGAATATTGTGTTCTGGACAGCACAATTTAAAAGTATTTTAAATAATTGGAACATGTTCAAGATATGTATATTAGAAATAACAGTTGACTTTAAAAATGGGAGTTTGAGAAAATAAAGGGTGAAGGGTGAGCAGGATCTAATATTCAAGTAGTTCAAAGAATGTCATAAAGATGAAACTCAAGATCAATCATTCAGAATGCAGACACAGACTATTGGTATTAAGTTTCAAAAATACACATTTCAGTTGAATCTTGGATGAAATTTCTTGCAGTAGGGATAGTTTGGAAAGTGAACTAATTACTAAGAGAAATGACAGAAAAAAATACCTGGGTATGCTCTAGCATACCCTTGGGGGTGCAAGACGATATTCCAGGGAGTGCGAGAAAAGTCCAGGTAAATAATAGGATATTGGCTATATGTTGGCATTTTTATTTATTATGCAATGGCTTAACTTCGTTTTCATTTTAGAGTTAAGTATCGTTATTTGGTGGCTGTCACATACATAGCTGAAAAGATTCAATCCTACCATATATTTAACGGGTTCAGTAGTTCCTAAAGTCTAAATTTCAGGGGGTGCGAGGTTCGAGTGAAATTTCTTTAGGGGTGCGGGGCAAAAAAAAGGTTGGGAACCACTGCTCTAGCAGAACAGACTTTTATCAGTGTTTCTGTATTGAGCTGAACCTTGCAGCCTGAATGACCCATTTCAGTTCTAACTCTATGAATATCTTGAGTTATTTATACTTTTAAACTATCAGTTAAAAAACTGCGGTAGGTGGGTAGGTAGAGTGGGAAGGTTTATCAAAATGACTCCATATGACTGTCTATGGAGAAGCAAAGCATCTTTCTCATAAACAAAGTCCAGTTCCCTTTGAAAAAGCTCCTTTGACACTCTTTGATCTTGATATAAAATCTTTATTTTGAAGTGTTTGAATATTGAGCATTTAATATCAATTTATTGAGCCCAAAATCTAAGAAATGGCAGTTGAAATTGTGTTTCAGTGTCTTCAGAGGAAATTGATAGACAGCAACTTTTGCATAATTATAATAGGACTAGAAAATCACATTAGAAGATTAAACTGAATGTAACGTATTTGGCATTTGCTGCATAAATTCTGATGAACCCTAGATGGCAGTAAAATGATGATTCTGTAATTTGTTATCTGGATTTCTGCAGTCCAAGTGTAGAAAACCTATGTATAAAATTATCACGTGAGTAGAGTGTTTGATATTCTTGTTATGGTCATCTATGGAACTAGTGATGTATGTCTTCTCCAGTAACAGTTATGGGCTTTATATGTTTATTAAAACATTAGTTTTTAGATAAGAACTAGTCGATAGTTACTTCTTTCCAAAAAGTTATCACATTTAATCATTAAGGCATGAAATGAAATGTGTAGCATGAATAAAAAACATCAATAAACTTCAGCTATTAATGTTCTAATTATTTCCTCTTTATATCTCAGCATACAAATCGTAGAGTCACTGTAAACACCTAAAGTACAGAGCTTTTTTGTTTTTCCTACCCCAATTCAAATCTCGTGATTATCATGTTCAAACTCTACAATCAGTTAATTCTGGGGCAGTTGTTTTTCCATCCAGTCATTTTTACATTCATTGATTGCTTTCTAATAGTCTGTGTATAGTTCCTTGAAGTTCTTTTAGTGCCTGCTGAGTTTGGTATATCTCTGTTACTGCTTATGTGGGTGTCTTTAATTACTGCATAGCCTCACTGATTTTTTTTATTCATTTGACCTACAGCCATTCAATATGTAAATAAACTGTATCAGATTAAAATTTTATATAATCTAGTACAGGTCTTTAAATCTTTTTTTTTTACTTCTTTTTAATTTTTAAGCCACTTTTTCAGGAAATGGAGCATTGACTTGGTTTATAAATATTGCTTTGCCATGGTTTATACAATAAAAGTTTTACAATAAAAACTGAACCATAAATTCCAATCTGTCAAATCCAATTATAGCCTTAAGCCTACCAACCATGCTGTAATTAACGATATATGTGAATCCAGCCATTGGGTTGATTAGGGTCTGAAATAGTTCATGAAATTACTGCTACAAAAAAAGAAATGACATCAGATTTTGATAGTTTCTGGTGGATTTCAGTTTTATTATTTTTTTTAAATAAGAATGATTAAACAATAACC